GGAGAGACGGGGAGAGACGGGGAGAGACAGGGAGAGACAGAGAGAGACTGGGAGAAACAGGGAAAGACGGGGAGAGACAGGGAAAGACAGGGGAAGACATTAGGAGGATAGGGAGAGACATGGAGAGACAGGGAGAGAAAGAAAGAGACAGCGAGAGACGAGGAGAGACGGGGAGAGACAGGGAGAGACGGGGAGAGACAGAGAGAGACGGGGAGAGACGGGGAGTGATAGGGAGAGACGGGGAGAGACGGGGGGGGGGAGAGCGAGAGCAAGAGCGAGAGAGAGAGGGGAGCGGAATGCTGCGCTATCTTACGCTAATAAACGAAGACAGAGGAAACCGAAGTGGTATAGAACATGTTGAACAATCGGGGTGGATACGCGAAACATGGTAAGGGTAAAAGGGTCGAGGAAAATACGCGATTCTAGGGTGACTCTAAACAGGTAACGTTTCCACTCGTCACTGATATTTCTGCACTCAAGAAACAAAGGGATATGCATGTGCGTGTATGTGAAAATTTTGCAGGAAGTTGGCAACATGTGCATTTCGGTTTTAAAATTCATTTTACTATTTCATTCGCAGTTTCTTAAAGTGAAGAAATAACGGGATAGCTTTACAGTTAATAGGGTAAGCGAACCTATTTCGGAACACTTTTTAAAAAACTTGCTGTATCTTTTACATAAAATCTTCTAAAACAAATCTGATATATGCTAGTTAAGAAGTCATCCTTTAACTATTAATTAGGCATAAATCAATATTTGAAGAAGACTTTGTTTTTAAATGGCGGACAATCAATTCAAGTACTAAATTTGTTCCGAATTAGGTTCACCTGCACCTACTTCGGAACAGCTGTTTTCATGTACAGCCGCATTTCGCAACAACATAGTTTCATAATTCAATTAAGCAACGATTATCTTCCTTGAACCTTTAACTGTTGTTTAAGTCCAAAATATAAGAGAACGAGCAAGTAATATAAGAGAAATATGAAATTATTGTACTTACCGTACTTACCGTAACTCATCCCGCTCAGAAGCGCCCTGTCATGACAACCAATAACAAAAATATACTATTGTCAATTATTTTCTGTATGTACTGCTCATTTCTTCACATCACAAACTTTATTTACGATGCTCTTTACCACCAGTATTAAAATTTGACATTACGTGATAGCTAACAGGAGTTTAAAGTGTTCCGAAATAGGTGCTGTTCCGAAATAGGTTCGCTTACCCTATATCGAGGAAAGCCCTCTTATGAGATAGGTTTCTAATATGAGATAGCAGGTATTCAACGTCCAAATTCAATCGAAAATCTTTTTTCGCAACGATTACATGATCTAACAATCAATTTTCCACTAAGCAGTGAGATTTCACTCCAAGGACAATAAATTCATGGTGGAACCAACAGATGACGCCGATTAATTTAGGAGAAACTCCACTATCTCATATTAGGAGCCTAGCTCATAATACGGGCACTTTCCTCTATTAGCATTTCGTACGCGCGTGACGTGACATATAACTCGTCTCTGCTTTCTTTCTAATTTCGTCAAATCTTTATTTGATCTCGCTGTATAAGAATAGCCCTACGATTCGTGCATAAGAGGAAACAGCGGGTTTCCTTCTAAAAATACGTCTTATGTTTCAACGTGTAAAAAAAAGAAGCACGTATTGACAATTGTAATCGTTGAAATGTCAACAATAGATATCGTTAACTTTAATAACGGTACTTGTTTCTCGTTGACTTAAGTAAGATAGAACGATATATAAGTTAATTCATCATCATTAACACAGGGCGATCATTCTGATAAAATTGCTCACGTAAAGTCCTAAAGACGAAGTGCCACGCTACCGTGCAAGGACATAAAAGAAATATTACAACATGAAACTTTAGGGTATAATATTTAAACATGCATTTAGCAGCGTGCGTGTAAATAATGTTAAAAAATATATATAATATAGGTATAAGACTACTTCGCATAAAATATTAGCGGCTTGAACGAAAACAAAAGGAGTGAATGTGCCGAAGAACACGCGGATTCGTAATAAATCAATAAGGAAAAAAAAAATGTACACGAAAATGGACATCGTACTTACGTGGCGCGAAGGAGATTTTCGCGTCGTCCCAATCGGATTGTAAACACGACGTTCGTATTGAGATTGTCAGAGTCGAGTGGCGCAAGAGGCACGAGATCGCGAAAAAGCGCACACGCAGACGCGCAAGAGGGCATTAATGGAGACCTTAAAGGACGTCAAACGATAAAGAGAGCGGAAGAGATGCCGAGAGAAGAAGAGACTGAACGAGAAGGGAAAGAGACGGGAGAAAAACGACGGAGGATGCAGTCGGGTGAGGGAAAAGTGAAGGGGGAAGGAGGGAGGGCAGAAGGCCACCGAGCGATGGAAAAGGACGCGAGAGATGGAGGAAATGAGAGGGAACGTGAGGGACGGCAACGGGATTGGGCTCTTTCCTTCCTCTCCTGTATCTATCTCGAAAACAGATTTTTCGTCGTACAGGTTTTTTTTTTCGGATCTTAATGCTCCATTCTGTTTTTTTGTGGACTCGAAGCCAACATTCTCGATTATCTTACGGCGATATTTACGATTTGGACGCAGTTTCCATTCGACGGAATATTAAGTGTTCGCTATCCAGTGTGAGTTGTTGCGAAATGTCCTGCGGTAAGAAGAAATTACTACAAATTCGTTATTATATAGGATATTTCAGGACATAATTGTACACATTTTCCCAAAAAAAAGTCAATATAACCGTGTATCCTATTTTTCGTGTGTCCTATTTTTATTCCTTCGTTTTCGTGTTCGAGCTGCAGGCTGCATCGAGATCATGGGATCTTCAAATATTTATTATAAGCTTAAAATTTAATGTAATTCGAAGAATCTCATTTTACCAACATGATAAATGTCGTCGTCCTCAAGATTGAACGCTGTATCTTTATAACTGTCGTGAACAGTACACGTGTTTACGTGAACTTTTTCGTTTAAAATAATGATTCATATCCTCTAGAACGCTGACCACCGTTCCCGCTGAAACACCCTGCATTTCCACTTTTAACAGATGAATTTATTTTTAATTTCCCACACTGACAAAATAACGAATGAATACGAATGAGATGATTTTCTCTCATTTTTCCATTGCTTTTTAATACCCGTACTGCGATATTTGCAAACCAAAGTGATCGTTGTAACAAAACACGTGCTTTTTTCGCGAACACCTAGCGCCGGCCCTGGGAGAGGGAGCGATGGATAGAGGGGGGGGGGGAGAGAAACCATCGGGTAGGGGCAGGGTGGCGAGTCGAGTGGGGGTTCGATCGTGCGAGAGAGAAGCGCGTGAGCGAGAGGCCGCGAGCGAGGGAGAGAGGAAGCGACGAGGTCGCTCGAAGGGGGAGCGCGAGGTGCCGGAGCGACGGAGGAGAGGTAGACGTCCTCAGGGTGGGGAACGGCGCATGGGGGTGGCGGAGCGCGCAACGTGCAGTGCGGGGAGCGGGGGGGGCAGGCGGTGGTCGCGACTTGCTGGCAGTCTCGTTGATCCGGCTGCGAGCAGTACGCGCCGTGACGTGACAATGGCGGTAGTCGTAATTGCGGTACGGTGCGATGCTATGATCAGCTGATCAACCGAGCCCGAGAGAGAGAGAGAAAGAGAGAGAGAGAGAGAGAGAGAGAGAGAGAGAGAGAGAGAGGGGTTGAGAAAGAGAGGCCGAAATCGAGAAAAAGCGAGAAAGAGAGAGGGAGAGAAAGAGCGCGCACGCGGATATTTTTAAAGAGGCGCCGACGGGGAAGAAGAGGCCGAAAGAGAGTTTGCAAACCCCCTCGCAAACCCTCTCGCAAACCGTCTCGTTCTTGGCCATGTCGCCGTTCTCGTGATCGGGCTCCGGAAGGTGCGCTCTTCGTTCTCTCCCCTGGCTGTATGTGAATTATACAGTGTGCCACTCCGGCGCTCTCCCCGCTCGCCCCCGTCCCTCCCCCTCATTTGTCGCCACGCGCGTACATCCGCCCGGTGTGTTGTGTGTCTGTGCGGCACGTATGCGTGGGGTTCGCACGACCGATAGATAAATGTCTCGCAGTCATGCCCGCCGTGCGGAAGTACCGAAGGGATACCAGCGAGGTGAGCTGCTGCCTCAAGTACGTGATCTTTGGATTTAACGTCATGTTTTGGGTGAGTACGCGAAAGCCGCCAACAGTTTCGCTCTAAGCCCCCATCTGGCAGCCGCGGGAGATCACGGATGTTTCCGCCTCGTCGGAGGTGACGGTCCATCGGAAAAAGGACTCCGCGTAGATCTCGTCACCGATAGCAGCTATCAGGCAGCAAGTTAGAACTTCGCGTAGAGCTTCATCGGCCGTTTAAACATTTAAGGAAACTTAGCCCCGAGTCTTAGCGCCCCGAAGAAATCCCGGTCGTTATTTCCAAACGAGTCCCTCGAACTTCTTCCAGCGTCGCGGACGTTGCCTGGAAGAAGATTTCGGGCGACCCGGGCGGATTTCGAGCATTACCGCCGACGGACTTTTGAGTATCACCTATCGAGGAGAATCTGAATATTATCCACCGCGAGACGCCGTTGCCTCCGACGAAGCCGAGGCTCTAAGACGCTTTCGAGACAAAGTCTCGTTAGTTCGAAAGAATTCACGACACCTCGAACGTTATCTCCCAGGTATTTTCAAACGTTAATTCCAAAAGAGTCGCAGCTTCATTACGGGAAATGGCATGGAGCTAGAGGCGAGCTTCCGGTAGCTGTGAGCAGTAAACGGAGTTCCGTAATGGAGTTCCTTTTAATTTATACCGGCTTCGTGCCTTACAAAGTCATTATTAATTTTCCGTGCGTTTGCGCGAAAAGTGTAACGCGGGCGAACGGCGTTTTCAAGGCGGAGTAAAATTTGCGCGTCGCCTCCCCGGTTCGCTTTTGTTTGCGTCGCGACGAGAGTTTATTGTCGCGCCGCACGCGAACCCTTTTTCACGTTCCAAATGAAGCGTGTCACGTTGTTTGTTTAATAACGCCCGCCAGATTGTTCGGAAGTGTTGATGGATCGCAGCGATCGCTAGGCGCTGCGTGCGCGCGCGCGCGCTCGGGAATTAAGTGCAACGTGGACCCAGTCCCGCGCGAGCACATTTGCGAAATCTCGACCGAAATACCACTCGTCTTCCCCGGCTTTCGATCTTACCGTGCGTCGTTGCACTTTGCGCGTTCTTATCTTAATGATGTTAAATGGGAAAGTCATTGACGCGCGAGGCACTCGGTTCCATTCCACCATCCCTCCGTAAAGATCTCTCCCTTTTCACAATGGAGTCTTGCTGGCAGAATGCGATTACGTCTATCACGTTAGCCGAAGAGTTTCCACGGTGAAACGCTATCGGACAGTTGGATAGATATCAATTATCGCGTCTCACGACCGAAGCTCTTATTTGTCGCTGGCGGCGGATACCGAAGAAACGTGTGTACCGAGCCGTTTATTGCGCCGCAGAGCTTATTAGGCGGCTTTTACATCTGATTTACTGCATATAGGCACGTAAAGATCAAGTCTGTCTCTGTCGAGATCGAAGCTTAATCCACTATGTGCCCTTCGCGTCTAGAAACATTCCATTTTATGTAAGCGAATCGAAACGCTTAACAATTCTGTCAACAACGTACGCTGAGGAAGAAAAAGCTGTTGAATCAAGAAATATTTCTTGATTCAGCTATATGCGGCGATCACGGGCTGCCAAGCAAATGTTTAGCAATGCGGAAAAATATGCGTCAATTAAAACAATATGTATTTCGATAAATCACTGCAGGTTTAACTTAAAAACACAAGCACTGCCGACTAACTGTATTTAGTCATTTCAATAACTTTTTTCTCAGTGTACGATTGTACAATGAACAATGTACAATTTATCAACTTGCGGGCATTTTTGAAACGAAGAAGTATGGAAACGACCTTACTGACAACTCTTTATTATAATAAAACGCAACGCTTCGGCCAGTAATACTGCATGGTCCTCTTCAGGCAACAAACTTACAAGAGTGCCTACAAATGTCTGAAGACCAGATAAACAAAATCTGAACTCAATTAGGATAAGCTCTTGCGCAAGAGAAAAAGAAATCAAGGTGTTTTTAATATAATAAAACTCACAACATTCGTCAGACTAGAGATGTGAAAATTAAGTTGGAACTCAGGAATTTCATTTTACAATGTGTCTTGTCATCAACGTTGGATAACAGAATAAGCGATAAATAAAGCTAAAGTCAGGTATAGCAGTTACAAGGAAACGTGGACGGGGAGGAATGTAAATACTAGGTTATTCCAATTATCCTATTGTGCATAGACTCAAGATTTTCAGTGTCTCGCCGTTATAGGTTGATTGTATTGTCAATGTGTTTTTCGATGAAAAACATTTCTGCAATTTCTCTTTCTAAATTTTTGTAACGTGTTTATCGGCTGCAAAATATAACAGAATGTCGCCAGAGGCAAAGAGCGCGTCGTAGATTAGGCTTGGAGGCTCACTGAAGCCGGTAGTTTGTGATTTGTCGGCGCTAACGAGCGAAAATTGACAATTAAATTAATCCTGTAGCAAGCTAAATTATACCTGAAATTACAAACTTGAGGTATAACTACGTTCAACTAGATTCAGTTAATCGAGATTTATTCTGATCATAATAGATTTGTTTTCTAGAGCGCGTTCTAAACGGTTGTTCAGTCCTCGCCCCCGAAATAACATTCGCGGCAAATACAATGACGTCTCGTGTAAGAGAATAACGACGGCATATTTAGATTTGGATCACCGCTATTTACACGACGCGTAAATACGGGGCTCGGGCCATCGTTCAAATTTACCGCGGGGGCTTTCGGATAAAAATGAAACGGGTGCTTTTCGAGGGGATCAATCTTCTTCTTTTTTTCCTCCCGCTCTCTCGACGCCGACACGCTTGTTTGTCGGCGGGGAGATTTGCGGGGGGGAGAGATCCGCGATGTTGCATTTTTGCAGGAGAAAACGCCGCGAACGAGCCGCAATGCAGCTCGCGCGCGCCGCGAGGTGTCCCAATTGCAAGGACCGCGACGGCGCTGCGCAGTGGCGCACGTGTGCGTCACGGTCCGCACATTTTTCCAACGAGCGCAGTGCGCATTGATTACGGAGCGTAAAAGAATAATCCGCCCCGGTTCAGTGACAAAAAAAAACTTGAAAAAAGAATAGACGAAGGATACGCGATCGGCTCTTTTCGCCGCGATCTTGTTAGCCCGAAACCTACTTTCCGCTATCGCGTCGCCTCGGCGCGACTCGACACGCTCGAATCGCTCCCGGATTCGTCCGTTTACGGCTGCATTAAAGTCGGAGGAACAATGAATAAGATACGCGAACGACCTTTCGCGATCAATGCGTATCAACGGCGCGCGACTCTCGCAACGCTTAAAGGGGATGGCGCGTGCCCCGCGCGGTCTCCCGGCAAACGGATTCCGCTTGCGGGACACCGGTTTGCGAATCGTGCCCGCGTTTCCTTTGATTTAGGTTCCGTTTGATCGAGCGGCTGTCACCCCCGCCGCGACGGATAACGCGGTCGGGACGGCCGGGGCGATAGATCAACAATACCCGCGAGCACGGCGCGCCGGCGGCGGCCGCGCGGCGCGGAAACGCGCCGCGCGACACGCGGGCTGTTTGCAAATTGTAATTTTATTTCGCGCATGTACACGCGCCCGTTACCACGTTCGCAAATTGATTTACGTGCCGTGAAACAGGCACCTTGAGCCCGTCGCCCGGATTTCCGAGTGAATCCCATTTCCCGGTTGAGACTTGCGTAAGCCTCGCGCGCTGTCGGCGTAGACGCGCGAGACGCGAGATTTAAGGGTCTTCCCGGATATAGACCCCGCTGTCATTAAACCTAGGAGATGTCAATAACGCCACGCGATCGAGGTGAAGGAGCACAGATAGATTCTTGAATTTATTAGCTAGAGAAACGTAAGTACAAATTCCGCTCGTACAGAAAAGTTGCAAATTACCGATTATCGCCAATGGTTTTATCGCCAATAAACTTGCAACCTTCCTGTAAAGACCTGTGTCAACGATGCCTGGTCCTAGTTCCAGTTCTAAGAAATGTGTAGCCAATCAACTTGCACCTTTTATGGAATAGCTGCTGTTGATTGACTACATATTTTTCGAAACTAAAACTTCAGCCAAGTTTTGTATCATAGACGCAGACCTTAAGACCAGAATTTACGCGTACTCTTCCGAGTGAATTCAATTGAATTCTTAAGAATCGGATCCCTAAATTCTTGAATTTATTCGCAAGAGAAACGTACGCGCAAATTTCGCTCTTACAGAAAAGTTGCAAGTTGAGTGATTATCGCCAGTGGTTTTTAGCCAATTGACTTGCAACCTTCCTGCAAGAGCAGAATTTGCGCGTACGCTTCTCTTACGAATAAATTCAAGAATCTGGTCCCCGGTCTCGCGCAAATTCGTAGACATTACATTGTGCAACAAAACCGCGTTACAATAAAATCGCTCAGGTCTGAGCGTCCCCGCGCTGTTCCCTCAATAAATGTTCTCACCGATTAACAGGCGAATAATGGAACCACTTGCGATGCCGAGCGGTAAAAAATACGGCGCGGGTCACGCAAAACCGACTGGGTTCCTCGACCGGGTTAAAGTAACCGCACGGTAATGAACTCCGTGCGAGCTTATTTTACCGGGACGGATTAAAGGTGTTATTGATTTTCCCGTAGCCAGGCGGCGGGCTCGGTTCGGGGTTTTCGCGAAATGTAGCACTGGCCTAGTGATATGTGGAGAGTTCTTCCCGCCAGGCACTCCCCGTAATTAAGTAGCGGACGTGCCACGGAAGACCACGCTCATCTCAGACCCATCTCGTGATTCGCGAGCGAAAATATGAAAAATAACATTAGCTGCGATCGCGACACTATGTCCTTGTGCGCGGTACATTTTAACGGATTCGAGTGGAAGACGATGGTCGGAAAATAGCGTCTGTGCGGAAGAAATAGCCGCCATCAAGTGAACATTTTAACACCAGGGATAAACAAACTCTCAAAATATATATAGTTGAGAATAAAAATAAGTTTGAAATATATATAATTGGAGGAAAGCATTATGAGACAGGCTCCTAATATGAGATAGCGGAGTTTCTCCTAAATTAATCGGCGTCATCTGTGTTGGTTCCACCATGAATTTATTGCCCT